ATGTGGACCCGTGCTGCGATCCACAAGTGAGATCGCCAACTGCATCTTTTCAAGACTCAGAATTATCCCAAAGAGTTGCATGGCTAAATATCGAGTGAATTTGTGTATTTCAAGATCGCAGCAGGCGCATAAATCGCAAATGAAAATAAATTAAGAATTAATTATTTACAGATTTTAATATGTCATTCAACATTATTAAGATTGTTTCGAAGATGCGAATAAGCACCAAAAATTTGTTAAATTGCTAGTCAATTTAAAAGTATATAAATTCACACAAGAATCATACAAGCATTAAGATCTAGCTAGACCGTTTAAGGCTTTGATTTCTTTAGTTTGTGTTATCACATATACGGTATATCCTATAATATATTATATTGAAAATAAATTAATTTGTTGAGAGAGGTCTAGACTTAAAAATAGTTAATAAAAAATGAATGGTAAGTCACACATTGAAATAATAAATACAAAAAAATAAATATGTATAATAAATAAATTGGGAGTCACACATTAAATAAAGTTAATTAATTAATAAGTTTAATAAGTTTAATTTAATAGATTTAATAAATTTTATGAAGTTATATATATAAAGCTCTACATATACCTAGGTGGGTTAAAAAAATCGATTTTTCAATTTTTGCATTTTCTTATAATATATGAAAGATTATTTTTCTAAAGTTACAACTCGAAATACGCAAAAATAAAAAAGTTATAGCGTGTTAAAGAAATAGGCGTTACGCTGATCAAGCGCCGCTAAATGAACTCCGCAGGGCTCGGAGCTCCATTCGTTCGTTTCTGTATATGTCAGTACGTGTTTCTTTGCTCGAGATCTTTTTATCCTTCACCTATAAAACATAATAATGAGGGCCTAAATAATTTGATTTGGAAGATTGCTCCAAAAGTATAACATAGTGGCACAAAAATTGTACAAATTGTAGCATGTTTGTATAATGAAGGTACATTGTCATTATTACAAATCATGCAAGCTATGGAAATTGCTGCAGAACCAAATGTGCACCAGTATGCAATAAAAGTAGATGAGTACCGCATAGCACAAGCGGAACGCACCGCACAAAATATGACGAAGAAAACAAGAATGCATTGTAGGCAAGCCAAATTCAATTTAACAAGGATTAATGAGTCGACAGAAGATTTATTATACAGCCTTGGAATAGACGGTTTCATGTAAGTCAAAAGAAATCATCTAAATATTGCTTAAAAGTAAAAACTTAAAACTTTAAACGCGTTTTTCTCAAAATCGTAAAAAATTAAGAGTAACAATAAAATAATTATGACGGTTTAATAAATTAATAAGTTAATAAATCAAGAATAGTAAAATGTGAAATGATAAAAATATTATTACATATGTAGTTGTACAAAAATATGTATATTATAGTTTTTTATATAATATCGAGTCCAGAAAATGGAAGTAAAGAGGAATTTTCGCCTCCCGAGTTCTTTCTACAGACGATCTCGTGTACGACTTTTAAAATACTCGAGCTACATGTACGTAGCCTGAAAATTGCAGTTGCGAATCGTAGATTAAGGATCGCAAAAAACCGTTTGGTTTTACATAGCGTCTTTTTGTATCATTAGAGAACACAGTTAAATATGCCTCGAGACCGCAAGTTAACTCGCTATACACCATATCATTATATTTAAATAATTTTTCTCTCGTTTTCCTTTCGTATAATATAGTTCGCTTGGGAAATGCATTACAGATGCGGCCGTAATATATTTTGCGATCCCGAGTTGCAGTGCCGCTGCTTCGTTGTATTTGATAATTCGATTTTCTCCGTCGGAAATAGAATCCTTGCTCTTCATCGGATATGTCAACAGTCCGAAAAGGTGTCAAATGACGACTTTAAAGCAGCTCTATCGCCGTAGTAATTTAAAAATCTTTGATTTTTTTCCCTTTATAATATGATTATATCAGCCTGCTAATTGTTATTTAATACTGATACTTATTAATTCTTTTCTATAATTAAATATATGTGGGTATATAAAAATTATACGCGTGATAAAATAAAGAAAAATATTATTCCTTCTTATAACTTTCAAAGAATCATTTGTTTTCATAGTGACGACGAAAGTATACATATTTCAATGAAATACATTTGATTTGTTTATTTATTTGGAATGGCACAAATATATATGTATAATAATAATAAAACAAACAATTTTGTTATAAAAGAAAATTCCATTTTTTTATCATACGTATAAAATACTGAATGTGAGTGCAAAAGTTCGTATAATATGCGATATAAAATGTTATTTAGTATTATGAACGAATATGATGCAATTTCAAAAATGGACGCATCGTCATGGAATGCACTAGCATTCAATATCCAGCGATCGCGGCACGATTCGATCACGTTTGAGTAAACTCCTCGATCTACAAACGAGACTTGATGCACAATGTTGAACTGCGACGAATTGGAAACATTTGTGACAGGAAACGTAAACTCCGTGGTTTTCCTGATATAAATGTTTATTACAAAGCTGTATTTAAAGCATGCGAACTATTCTATTTGAAGGATTCGACTCGAGATGCGGTCGCTCTGTTAAATGAAATGCGATTAGGTATTTATTGAGGCGTCACTTCACAGTACTTTAGTAATCAGTCTTATTCCAGGCATTACCTCAGGTTTTATGCATTTTGCGCGTGCACGTGTGTGTACATACGTGTAAGTAGGGTAAGCAAAATTTCAATATTTTATATATTAAGAATATAGCCCAGATAACGTTTATATATATATGTTGTACAAGATATCTAAAAGACGTCTTTTAGACGTTTCATGTTTAAAAGATGTCTTGTGCGACATGCATATTATCTGGGAAAGTTTGATTTTTATCTTACTTAGGAAATCTTTCTTTTAAATTTTGCTTGTAATATATAAAAGTCACATAGAAAAAGTATAAAATAAAACAGAGCATTAGAGCTAACTAAACGCTTGGAATTTCGGTGGCTGGAGAAAAATTATTGAAATTTTCTTCAAATAATTTGTAATTAAAAACTCTTTCTTCCGATGTGAATTATTCCATGAGTTTAGGATTGAAAATTATTTAGACTGTTACATTTCTGAATTCAAGATCCGAAAGGAAACTGAAACTAAGTACTAATAGCGATTTCAAGATAAACGACATTACGTGCGATCTAAATGTTTTTCATTCTCTCTGCAGAATAAATTTCTTTTCCTCAAAGTGTACTTTCGATATTAACGTTGCAGATACGCGTTTCTGTCTCGGAAAATTTATGCGCATAAATCATATGTGATGCGTTTTAGTGGCTGCATCTCGCTGCATTATGACGAATCGAATGGCATATGTCGATTATTGATCGGAAAACGATTGTTGGTTCGCCTGCGTGCGAAACGCAACACGTTCACAACTTAAAGTGGTTCTACAGTAAATCGAGTTACCATACATGGAACAAAAGAATTTACTTGTTTCAAGTAAATATATTTTCTTGAACTGTAATTTATTGATTGAAAGAATTAATTACTTGCCACAATAAATTTGTTTTTTGTTCCAATAAATTATCCTGAAGCAAATAGTTTAGCAATGAAGAAAATATTTTATTCTAATAAAAATACAATTACTTGTCAGTAGAAAATTGTTTTATTAAATCTAGTAAATGTTATTACTTGAATCTAATTGTTGTTAATAAGAGAACATTTTTCTTAAATTTATGACATGAGTATTAGAAATCGTACATTGATTATTTTTTATAAAATATAATTTTTATTTCAAAAAGCAATTTCTTGGGGTTATCAAAAATATTTACTAGTAACGAAAAAATTGTTTCATAAATTAATTTTAAATGCCTGCTAGGGACTATTTGAGAAAATTTTCTTGAATTAAATAATTTTTTCTTGAAAGAAGTAAAATTTTTTTTCCGTGTAGAAATGTTTAACTTTTTAATATAATGAAATTGAAGTATCGAACTTGACGCATGCAAAATTCTAGGGTAAGTTATCGATGAAATAAGAGAGAAAATAATGTTGAAAATGTAACTTTTGATATAGTATAATCTAGTGATAAAGATAAGAGGCCTTCTTTGACTAATTGCATACAAACATTATCATAGATTTCTCTAAAAAACGAGATTATGATAGTTAAAGAAATTACGATTGTAAAATGGTACAAAGAAGTAATAGATCATCGGTCATTTTGGAAAGATATTTAATGTTGAAATGGCGAATTTTTACAAGAACAAATTGTACAAGAAATCAACTTCTTTTTTTCATTAATTTTGCACACTAAGTATCGTCTATTTCATATTATTTCATTAAAATATACACGTACCAAGTTTTAATATTTTATCCAAATTATGCAGATATATTTGTGATTTTGGGTTGGCACTTGATGAGACACCACAAATTTTCGGCACTTTACTGTAGAACCACCTTAAGGTAGAGCTGTCAGGCTCTTAGTTCCCGTATATGTCAAGCTAAAGCTGATGTTTCATTAAAGAGATCGTTTGTCGTAGATAACGCTGCGTCGATAGACAGAGAACGAATAATTTCTGGGAACACAATTGCCGCTGGTCTTTGTGGATAGCGCCCTTCTTCGAATAAAGTACCTGTGGCACAAAGCTTCCTTTAGAACTTATGAATGCGATTTGCATTAAATTATAGCAACAATTGGACGTTTACGTCAAATTCGTTCTCTTAAAGTTTTACCCGATTCTCGGAAATTAAACAAAAGAAATTTTGCATTTTATATATTTCTTTTGATATTCTCTAATTGATTCCTTTTTTAATTTTTCAATAATTATATAGAATGTTTTTTCACATGTCTATTTTTTGATAGATTTAATGTTCTTTATTTCCTGAGTTTAAAATAAATATTTCAAATAATAAAATGGATTATCTTGATGTGATGGATTATATTGATAGATAAAATACGCTTGTCAATTTGTGACAGTTTATACGAACGTACTTCATTAAATAAAATATTGCACTTATTGCGGGCTAACAGTTTTTCTTTGCTTTTTTCAGCAACGACGAATCGCGCTAGGATGAAAACAAGGAAACTCAATTTGTGTGGATACCTGGACAGTACCGGAATTAGCGGAATGCTCCATGAAAGCTCGGTCGTGTGTAAAACTTAGGGTTGCCATGTGTCCTACTTCTCGTTGAGCAGTCTAACAACTCCGCGTATAACTGTCATGTAACTACGTTTAAATGCCCTTCGAAAACAACAAATCCAAATTTATATAGAAATGTGCAAAAAACGACGATAAACATCAAATAAAAATAGATTCTTTTACACGTCTTCTTTCTCTTAATTACGTACACATGTTTCCATGCATTGTCTTTAAAAATGATGGCAACCCTAGTAAGACATGAAGCCGCGTGGCAATAACATATATTTAGGAGTAACGATACATGATTTCGATAAAAATGGTCCTCGATAATCTCACTGTGATGTCGGCCATTGATGAGTTGGTGGACGACGTTCAATCGAACAGCACCAACGTGACGGATTTTCCTGATTACGATATCAACGATTCCTTCAATCACTTTGAATGGGCGGAATTGGCTCCTGTTTTGGTCGTCTACACCTTGACGTTCTTTCTCGGATTAATCGGTAAGTTTAATATTTTCGTGCTTTTGTATATGTATAAGTCAATAAATCAAATAGACATGTATACAAACATTTTTAATTAAAAATATCAACACATTTTACACAGAATCGATCAACGTATCGTAATCGAAGTTTATAGTATTCATCAAAATTATTAAAAGTTAATGAGAATGTTTTAAATAAATTGGACAATATGCGTGTGAAATATACAGATGTATATAGATATATATTTTTAAAGAAGTAAAGTTTTTATTTGTAAAGAAATAATGATTCTTAAAAATCTTAAAATAGATATATTGTATTCTAAATTTTTTTCTTAATTCTTATTGCTCTTTTACGTTAAATTTTTACATAATTATTTAAGTGTATCATCTTTCATTTTACATCAGAAAATTATATTTAATTTATTGACTTGTCTCTGTAAAATCTATTTTACGTGACTATTTTCCTAAATTAATCGACATGACTAATCATATGAAGTAATTGTAAGTTCAACCATGCTTTAACTGCTTAATGAATATTAATATTACATGAATATTAATATGATATAGCTTCTTGTTGTATTTCAATATATAATGTAATTTAGGGTGGTATGTACACAGAATTGTACTGTATTATGAATTCTATAACTTTAACACAGCGAAAGCCCTTTACTTTCAAAGCGTAGATTAATTTCTACTGTACAGTAGAGATTCGAGCAAGCTGCGGCTTCGTTTAAATCTCTATTTTAACAAACTATTTTGACAAACTTTCTAACAATTTTATTTAATTTAACTTATCTAAAGTTTTACCGGTGTAATTAGTTTCAGAATCTCAATAAATCAAATAATTTCCAAACTATTGATATACTAATGATACGTAAAAAAATCCAAATGAAATTTTACGATAAATTATTTAACGTAATTAATTTAAGCATTAAAACTTTGCAAAAAATTTTCACTCAAAAAAGTGATCTTGCAGTTATAGCGAAAATTATATATCTAAGTCGAAAAATTAGCTAAAATAAACAAATTTCTAACAAGTATTACGATATTGGATATGTATTGCATCTAATCATATAGATGGCAGAGATAGAATTTAGATTTGTACTATAAATTCTGTATATAATTTTCTATCATAGATATAAAAAACAGCAATAATTCTAGCTGGAGTAGCAACGTATTTTTTTGCGTGTTAATAAAGTACTACAAAATTTGTGCGAAACGTTATAAATACGTTTCAATGACGTGTATATTACAATTATTAATTTATATTTATTCTTTTGGAGTCAAACTGTTAAAATTAAAATATTAATTTGTGAATTTAATAATAATTTTGAAACATATTGAAACTTCAATTGTTATGAATCATTTATCGCTATTAAATTAACTTATTATTGCGTCCTTATTAAATTGTTTTTATTCTAGAAAGAGAGCGAAGAGTATCTATATATATTTTCGTTTTGATCAATAAAAGAATCGCGAAAGAAACATTTGCAGAATCGTTAATTACGCGATATGTCTAAAAAAGAAAACAATTGTTGAAACGTAAGACATAGCGCTTATATTAATAACAGAGAAACAGAAAATTTTACTCTCTCGCTCGTGATTTACTGTATGAACAACAACGTAACATGCTATGCTTTACATTAAATCGCACTCGTGTTGCGGTGAGAATTACAGAGTAGTTGCATTTTTCATCATGGAATATATCACGAAAGGAAAAAAAATTATCGTATGTTGCTGGTGAGACATTCCAGTTCCGCAAAATCGCTAATTGGATGGTAAATAGAAGCGAAGTAATACTCGTAATTCGTCTTAAACAGACAAATTAGACACGGTGTAGTGAATAGAGTATTTGCGAACGACAAATCCTGTTTCTCGCATGGAAACCGCAGCAAACGTCGCTTTGCAAAGTGCAGCAGAGCCTAATATGTTCTTAATTACACAGCGTCGTGTTATCGTACAAGTTACCAGTATAATACAAGTCATTTCGAGTACAAATGATTGTAGGGATCTCGAATCACCCTTCATTAATTTGCACGACCGAACACAGTTTCCTGTATTTCTCGGTTTCCCAAAGCGCGGCAATTGTTTCGTTTGACGTATGGCTATTAATAATTGTTAACAACAATTGGGATTTGAAGTGTGGGATTTGAAGCCGGAATTCATGAAACGCGGTCAATTGGTAGACATGCTTCGATTTTCGGTAATTATGTTATTATAATTTGGAAACAAAAAGAGAGAGACAGATTTTGACAATGACAAAATTTGTCTCAACGTAATCAGTTAATCATAACATCAACATTTCTCTCCACTAAATAGATCATTAAATAAATAACACACTCGGTGCAAATATATAAATATTTTTTTGACGACACGATATAAGATAAAGCTTGTTATATAATAATATATACGCATAAAATCGATCCCGGAAAATCATTTATTTAAACTCGATTATTTCCTGTAGTAATTAACTTTCACAACATCACCATCGTAAACGACTTTGCAATTATCCGCAAGAGATAATTACAAAATAATGCTCATCTGCGATATTAAATCTATCGACAAATGTAAATTATTGAATGCAATCGCAATATTACTTGATTTTACATTAGCCAGGAAAAATTATTAAGAACTTTAGTTCTTTAATTTCATTTTAAAATATTCCGAAGGTCATCTCCCTCGGAAGTTCTTCTTAGAATCTCTAACAATATCGTTGGTTCTTTACGGTCAAGGAATCTTAATTTTTTTCAGGTAACGTCATTATCATTGCTTCGACTCTTTGTCGACTCAGGCCATTGCCGGCGACACCGACGAACGTTTTCTTGGGCGGTCTGGCTACAGCTGATCTTCTGTTAATTATATTCTGCATACCCGTGAAAGTAAGTAATATAGATACACATATACACTTCTTAACTCTAATTATACACGTCATTGGGATCCTAGAAACTCCAGTGCAATTTGTTAAATGGAGATTTTTTCGTGTTTTTAAACTTTTCTTTTTCTTTAAACCTATATATATATTTCGGAGCTCCTTAATTCTATCGACTTTTACACATGGACTTATTCCTTAATTTTCCTCAATTTTCCATCGATTGAAAAAAACATTAATTAAAATATATCCATTTTTACGGAAGTTACGGTAACAAATATGGATGGGATAATAAATATAGCTAAGGTTAAATCGAATTCAGATCAAGCGAGCGAACAGGAACGAACACGAGCGAACAATTTGCTTCTATAAATATAAACTGTATTATCAGAGGTGGTCATTAAGTCTTGTTTTCATTCGTGTTTGTTCACGCTTTCTTGCTCGATCAGACTCATCACGATGATGAGCACATATAATTTTTGTATGCATATAATCGCTCGTAATGACTTATTTGCATCTCATGTTCTTGTCTACATTAATTTATCGCGTTGAAATCTCGTTTATGTCAGCGACTAGTTCACTGTCAGCTATTATTTATCTTTAGTTTTCTATTTATTGCCTGTGTACGTGCTTTTCATTTACTGTTATTTTATATCTGTACGGGATGTACAGAAATATAACCGCAATTGTATTTTACAGTATTTTAACGAAAAGTATTAAAGTTGAGAAATTAATTAAATTCTATAATTACAAAATGTCGAGGTACATAATAGGTTTCGAGTTAAGACAGTAATTGCACTGTTGATTACGTTATTGATTTTCGTAATGCAGATAATAATAATTTTATTATCGCTGATTTTTGTCTTTTGATTTTTTATATTTATATATTTCTTATATTTTTAAATATTATATGTTTAGATATCATACAAATATTATGTATTGATTACTAATAACAAGATTTAATTTTAATATACAATCTCTATTGAAAATTTAAACAGTTACGCTTAATTACACACAATTTTCGCCGAGCAATTTAATCCTTTAATTTAGTTTGTTATTATATAACTTATAATCACAATTCTTAGTCTATCGATTTCTCTCGAAACATAAGCATTTAGAAAGAGAAATAATAGCAAAAAAATTAATTTATGTAAAATACTTATTTAATTAAAATAAAAAGTAAATTGTATTCTTCAAACAAATAAGATTTAATATTTTAATATTTTAATATGACATAATTAATCAACCATCATAAATTCTCAGTAAATTAAGAAAAGACTAGATAATATTACGTATAACGTATAACCAATATTTGCTAAATAATGTATTAAATTATATATTATATGTGACAAACAAAATGCATATCGACAATAATCCCTTCGTCTAATCTGATACGTGAGAATCGGGATATTTGGTGTACACGAAATATTCCATAATATCCTGAATATTTTACAGAATTCGATACATTGAATATTTTATGGAAATATTCAAATTAAAGCAATTAGGTTTGTCCCTTAACGGCGTACAGCGATGCGTAAACAAGGCTGGAATGCCGTAACCGTAACACGTGCCCGCCCCGCACTGCGTACATTACAAGGTCGACGTGCTATCATTCAGCCAACCATAGACACTCGACCGAGTAAGTGAGCTTCTCCGCATCCGCATATCTCACTGCTCGTCGAAACTAATCGCGGCAAATACTAAAGGGCCTATTCTGTAACTCTTAAGGGGATGCTGGAGTGACCTAACTATCGATATTACAGTCGTATAAAAATCTCCAAATTGACTGAACAGAATTAAAAATCCTTTTACGGGATTAAAGTAGACGCAAAATTAGGAAGTGGTGCAGTGGACTTTATATTAAAGTCGAAAAAAAAAAAAAATTAAAAACTTACTTAATTTTTTTTTATTTTAATATAAAGTCCACTGCACCACTTCCTAATTTTGCGTCTACTTTAATCCTGTAAAAGGATTTTTTATTCCTTTCAGTCAATTTGGAGATTTTTATACAATTGTAATATCGATAATTAGGTTACTCCAGTATCCCCTTAATAACTGCAACTATAATGTTACAGTTATAGTCATCAAGGAACATTACAGAATAGGCCCTTAATTAAGTCTCGGTTTCACAATTTGCGATCAACTTTTTAACCGAGGTATAACTTACTCTTCATCACTTTCCAACTTTAGAATGATAAGACGCCGAAAGCATTCCCTTCCGGAATTATTATTAGTTATTCTCGCACGACTTCTCGACCCTTACGATTCCCAATTCGTAAGCTCGTCGAGATTGGTTATTAATGTGTTAATATTTTGCGCGATTTATTCGATAGAAATCGAGATAATAAAAAAGTGGAAAGTTACTTCAAACTATTACTTTGTAATACTCATTCGCGAGCAAATCTAATTTTTTTTGTGACGGTAATTAGGTACATTAGTTTGGATCTTTCGCGGATTTTATATTCACAACCAAAGACTTTCTTTGTAACGATATTTGGATACCGATATTATTGTGATTTGGATTCTTCCACAATAATAAAATTCACGAAATTGTTTGATGTATACGAATTAAGAGCGCGGAATAATACGTATATCGTTTTCCACGTAATTCGAGCAACAGAGGGTTCGCGATATGTTGACCGTTTACGAATAATTAATCGAGAATGCGTAGAAAATAACGTTTCATATCAGCAATTTCACAGGTAATATTTCATAGAAAATATCTCGTAACAATTGGCTGGGGATTTGCGTGGCGCGCCTTTATTGAAAGTAGCTTGATATTTTATATAAAATAAAAGAGCCGCATATTTTATTCATATTTTGATGATTTACTAAACAATCGTGATTGTCGAGTGGCTCGTAGATTTTCACGACCGTACGTTTCTCGCGTTCTCGATAAGAACGAGTGTTTTATGTATTTTACATGAATTACGTGGACAAAAATTCATTGATGTGATATTCATGTAAATACATATAACATTGTGACTTCGTTGCAATAAATTTTCCTTAAAATTTTAATATGAATTCTACGTAGAAACTGTTACATATTTATGAATACTGCGTATAGAGAATACTTCCGTATAGATTTTAATACATGTAATCCACATAGAATTATTAATAAAATTTAACGGGAATAAAACTAGAAGATAATATGAAAGTTCATGTGAATAAACTCGCATTGATTTTCACTCAATGCAATTCAAGTTGAAATTTTAATATTTTGTTGACATGTCGACTTATGACACATTATATTTATGTAGATATTATTTCAATGAATTTTTGTTCACGTAAAGTATGTGGATTTAATGTAGACTCGAACCTGTTCTCATCAGGTTAGTCTTGCATTGGAAAGTAATTAAATGTATGTCGCATGCAGTTATAACATCGGGAGTGAGAAGTATCTCGCCTACAGTTGTATTTTAATAATCACTGTAAAAACTGTCAGTATGTGATCGTAATTAATCGCGTGAGTTTTCGTGAGTGAGTGTTATATGAGAAGAGAGAAGAGAAGAGAAGAAAGAAATAAATGCGATGAATAAATCTGAGAGGAGGAGGCGGCCTAGGAGGCATCGGGCGTCGGTGAAGCAATCACAAGGTAAGTAATATTTATCAAATATAGAGTAGTAATAACGAATTCAATACACTCATAAAGAACTTGCCACAAGGAACCATCCAGAAAATCTGAGATTGGACCGATATAAAAAAATACATATCTCTAGATTTTTGTGTTTAATAATATATTTCAAGAAGAATCGGTTCTGTTCCGGACAGTTGTGATAGGTCCCTTGTCAATGCGCATTAAAGCCGTCGTACACAAATTGACATAAAGATGTGCGTTTAATATAAATATATATTAAAAACCGATTAACTCGTGAAATTTCCAACATACTTCGTTGTGTTGTTAAATAAAATACGTACTTTATAATTCGAAATATTTATACATTTTACTTTTATACTCAGATTAAAATTAACAGTGCAACGGTTTTAATATACACTTCAATGCGTCCAACCGAATTTGCGAAGTTTTAACTTTAAATAAAAATTTGTCTTTTTCGCTTGTGTGTTGAACTTGCCAATTATTTGTTATTTGCGCAGATAATTTGGGTCATTTATTTTGATATTTTATATACGAGCTAGGAAAAGAACTTTTATTTGTAGAATTTTGTAGAAGTTTATACTATTTGAATTGTAAAAAGAAAAAAGATTATGCTAAGAATTTAATTGGTTTATAAATTATATATTTATTAAAAGTAAAAGATTTGTGCGCTACACAATGCTTCTTTGAAAACTTATTTTGGACATTACTGTAATCCGGATGTACTTATATTTTACAGATTAACATAGTGTTATAACTCCGCTGCTGCGCATCATCTTTGGTGAGTGCTTCTTTTATATTAATTTGAGGTAATGGATCTGTGAATATATATTACTGATAAAATATAGCATTTTTCATTGATTTATTGCCTTGAAATGGATGGGCTTGTACAGATTAAATATCTAATATTTTAAATCCCGGATAAGATATCTATAATTATTTATATCCAACATTTTCTACAGGATAAGATTTACTGGAAACGTAAAACGTCATGAAGATGTACATATTTTAATAATTTTATGTAGGGTAAACTAGGGTATTATGGCCATATGGAAAAGACGGCCATAGGCCATCATTTCTCCAATAATTGATAAATAGTGCATTTTTATAGTCATTCTTAAAGATAATCAATATTTACAGTAGTTGATATGAGTACACTGTTCAAAATAACAATATTATAAATATTATCTAATATTTTTTCTTTCGACTATTTGCAAAGTTTTGCACGTGTCTGCTAAAAACTGTTATAATGTCTAATAAATTACAGTTAAGCTGTCATAATCAACATTACATACACAATAAAAGTACGTAAATTGCAAAGTGACCTATAATTAATACTTTTATTTTCACTATTTATTTATAAATACTATGGCTATCTTTCTTAATATCATGGCCATCTTTTCCCTAAAAATCTG